TTGTATGTTCTGTGAGGCGCAACAAAGTCAGTGTGACTAGGAGAAGGCAGGTGAGGAGGAGAGCACAGGCACCCAAGTTGGAGAGGTAAGCCATTCTGGTTTCACAGGCCACTGAGAGTTTAGATTCCAGACTAACTGAACTGGGAAGCCGTTGAAGGGTATTATGCAGGAGTGACCTGATCTGAAATAAGAATTCTGGCTGCTTGGTGGTGGACAAACTGTAAGGACAGACCGACAAAGGAAAGAGGACCACTCGGAAGGCGAAAGCAGTGCCTGCCCCGCTGCCCGCCCAGGAAAGGAAAGGTGGATGGTGGCCTGAAGCAGGGTGATGGCGATGACGATGGGGCTGCTGGACGAATTCCAGACAGAGGCCAGGACACTGTACCAAGGAGGGAGGCGGAGCCCTGCCCAGCAGGTCGGTCCTGGGCGGGGCCGAGGCGTGGGTGAGGAGCGGAACCCGGCATCCTTCTGGAATCCAGGAGGGAGGCTCGGAGCACGGGCCGCCCGGGACGGCGCGTCCTGGCGTCCGGCGTCTGCGCGCGGAGCCAGACCCTGGCGGTGCGCCTGCCGGGCGTTTCCTGGCAACCGCCGCCGCCGCCGCCGGAACGTTCCGAACTCTGCGGGCCCCGTGACGTCACCGTCACTATGGCGACGGCCGGTGGGAACAAGCCTCAAGGGCTCCGGGGGCGGGGTCTGGACACGGCGTACTCCGCCTTCCGACCCGCCCCTTCCCAGCGGGAGGAGAGGCGGAGCCTCAGCCTGGGCGGCAGGTGTGGAGGCAGGTGTGCTGGGCCCTGGGCGAGGCCCCGCGAGCGGCTGCTGCTCGGCTGCTGCCGCCGGTGCATTCATCATCCACCACCTACCTCTCTTCCTGCCAGGCCGCCACATCCTGCGAATCACACGGGCTCCTCGGTCATTTAGATGACCTCTGAAAGGATGCCTTCCAGACCACCCACGTTAAAATAACTACCGTCCGTTGCCCTGTGGGCTGATCTTGTTTTTTTTTTTTTTTTTTTTTTTTTTTATTCACAGTATTTCTCCCTTGCAAATCTATCTAGTCTGTTTATATATTGTCTTCTCTCTTTAAACCAAAGTTCCATGAGGCCAAGGATAAATTCTGCCTTGTTCTCCACTATTTTTAGCCCAGAGCAGAATCTGGCATGAAGTGCTAATAAATGTTAGTGGGATGAATCTGCAGATGTACTCGATCATTTCATTCACTTATGCATTCATTTATTTGACATGTATGGAGTGCCTTCTAGGAACTTGTGATAAACATTAGATATACTAAGATGAACAAGGCAAGGGACCCCCCTGGAGGTGAGAAAGGAGATTATTAAATAGTAATTACTACAATACTAAAAATGAATGTCTTTGTCCAGACGTCAGGTATATTTTCATGTACTTTATACCTATAATTCTCTTAATCCTCAGCATGGTAATTGCACCCATTATACACATGAGAACACTGAGGAGAACACTCATTCTTTCAGCTGCTGGGTTCTGTAATCAGAAATCCTATGAAAGGCAGGGGAGAGAGATGTGGTAAGGGACTCAGCAATATGGGAATACCAGGCCCAGGTAGGTAGATTTGATATTGATTGTCCCTTATACATCAGTCTCTCACAGGGGATGGGTTCCTTCCAGATTGGAGTTCTCTTGCTCCAGGGAAGCCCACCCATACTAGCTGAGCAGGCACTGAGGGACCAGTAACAGGTATGGAGGGCTGAGCACTGGACTGGAGGTAAGGTGGGAACCTGCATATTCAGCTGAAGCACAGTATGTGCAAATTCTTGCTCAAGCTTGTGAGGAGCAACCCTAGTTGTTAACACCCCTTTCTATGGAAGAGGATCCAGAAAACCCACCTTATCCCACCTCTGGGTCTTTGCAAGTTCTTTTCTCTGTATCTAGTGTGCTTCCCCCCTCTGGTTTTCACTAGCTGGCTCTTTGTATTCATATCTGAAATGAGATGTTTTTCCTTAGGAAGGTCTGCATTGGCCACTCGCTCTAAGGAAGTTCCTGGTCATCATCACATCACCATGTATTAAGATTGTTTCCCCAGAGTGGGAAGGCAGCACAATCAGGCACATCACTCTGTTTCTGATCTGATTTTTCTTGTCTGTCCATCTCCTCATTCTCAAAAGTTGGTTTCCTGAGAGGAGGACCCTATTGGACCTTGCTTCTGTGTTCCTACTACCTAGAACAGACCTGGCATACGGAAGATGCTCAGTGCTTTTTGAAAGACAGAGTGAAAAGTGGCCTTCACCAAATCATTCCAGTTTTCCAGGTCAGAATCTGAGCACCCCTTTCCCCACTGCTTGGCACACTGCCCCTGGCATGAATTGGCAGTGGCCCGCCAACTTGGGCATGGGAATTCTCCTGATGTGAGGTCTTCCTACCTTCCTGTACCTGGTGGGTGACAGGGCTGCTCTCCCATTTTGGAGCAGGATTGTGGGACCCCTCCCCTGTGCCCTGATGATGTCCAAGAACATCTAGGACGGGAGGCCAGAGGTAGAGGGAGCAAATGTGTATGTTGAGGGCAAGAACAAGGGAGAGGGTAGAGCCTTCAATGCAGCTGCTGCTAGAAAAACTGGACATCTGGAGGTTGGGGCTGTTTTTCCCTTAGTGTGAACACAGACTCTTGAACAGATGCACACAAACAGACACACACTGAGTAGAGAATCAAGCTTTGGTTTATTCAGACTGAATCTTTCCCATTTGGGATGAAGAGGGGAAGTGGGCAGGAGGGGGCATAGAAAGACAGTGCATTTGGCTCCTAAGGGCCCTGTTGATTGGGAACTCTTTTCACATGACCTTTGGGTCACCAGGATGACCAGATGAATGATGAAGGTGGTGAAGGAGGGACTGGAGGCCAGGTCCTTTTGGGTCTCTCAGACCAATTCCTAACAGAGACCAATGCAGTGACCAGTTAGGTTTTCTCCAGGGATTAAGGAGCAGAAGGCTAAGCACATTCAGAATCCTAACAAAAAAAAAAAATAAAGGCTGGGGATTCCAACTCTGTAGACAATGATGTGCAGATGACCACAGGTCAAAGCTTGGACCGGGTCTGTGTGAGCAGCATGTGTACATGCTACATCTTCTACAAGTGGGGCTGGCGGTCCTCACCCCGTGCCTCTGTTACTTAGTGGACCTCTTTTAACCTCCCCCCCCTTTTTTTGCAGGAACTGAGCATATTGATGGAACTGACAAAAGAGAAACAGTCCTCAACACTCCTTAGAGATGCCCTTTCTTCTTGGTCCTCGTCCTATATGTGCAGGAGGGAGGGACCCATCTTACTCCTGGGGCCCTGGAAGGAGGCACCCCAGTGATGGGTGAGAGGTGAAGGTGCTCAGTGAGCAGCTGGCTAGGAGTGGCCGTAGGGCACCCACGCCACCTCAGCTTCTTCTAGGCCACTGTTGAACCCAGCTGGGCTGTGCAGGAACTGCCTCAGCAAGGGGGAGGCATGGACCCCCAGGTGGGGACAGCTGAGCGGTTCTGCCTGCTCAGTGACTACAGTGGAGGATGCAAGGACTGTGTTCCCAAACTGGTCTACCTCCTCATACTGTTCCGTCACGGTTCTTGTGGCTCCATAGCACTGGGAACCGCCCGGCACAGTCTGCAACTCCAGGACACTCTTTTGCCGCTCTGTGGGCAGGGGGCGCTCTGAGGTGGGCGTAGGCTTGGGCTGCTCAGAGCACTGTGTGACCACTTCCTTTTTCCTAGCCAGGTCCTGGGCACTTTCCTGGTGAAGTTGGGTCTGTCCTATGTCCTGAGCCAAGTGTATGCTTTTCCCTGAGACGTCATGGCTGCCTTTAGGGCTGGAAGCCTCTGGAAGCTTCCGTGTGGCTGACTGGATGGAGATGAAGGTTGGGGAGGAGGGTGAATCTCTGCTGAAAGGTAAGACTCGAGGGAGGCCTGAGTCTTCTCTCAATGTCTCCAGCCTCCTGGTAGGAGAAGCAGCTGAAGCAACCTGACCTCTGGCCTCTGTGTGATTTGTGATATTGGCTTGACCCTGATCCTCAGTATGGCATTCAACCTTGGCTTGGCTCTTGACTTCAATTGGATCTTTGACCTCCTGGTCTAAGTCAGTGGGCCTGGCTCTACTCCTGGCTAAGACACTGACCTTTGGGGTACTGGGATCTTTGTGGGGTCCTTGGGAATGGTTCCTGGTGTTCACCTCTGGCTGCAGGCTAGACACAGAGCTGAGGGCCTTGTGTACAGCTTCTTCAATGTCCAGCAGCCTGGCCAGGGTCTGTTCCTTCAGGCGGGCAACCTCTGTGCTGACCCGTGTCAGTTCCCCAAAGGCCTGCTCCACTGAGACCTCTGGTTTGCAGGGAGCAGCAGGGACCTGAGAGGCAGCCCCTCCAAGCTGGGGCACAGCCTCAAAGAGCCTCTTCAGGGCACCCACATCCACGCTACTTGCTGCTTCCTTCTCCAGGGCTTGCACCTGGCTCAGGAGGCCCTGGAGCTCTTGCTGGCTTCCCTGCAGAATCTGAGGGTTCTCAGGGGCTCCTTGCTTGGAACATTCCATGGGCTGCTCTCCTGGGGGACTGGAGTCCTGCTGCGGTGAGGTGCAGTCATTATTGAGAGCATTGAACTTATGGGGTTCAGGGCTCTGGACATTGCTGCCAGCAGCATGATCCTTGGTAGGTCTGGAGGTCACAGTGCTGAGGCTGTGTTGGGGGTCAGGATGGCTCTGTCCACTGGAGCATACAACCAGAGGCATGCAGCCCTGGCCTGAGGTGGTGGGAATTTTGGCCTGCTGAGGAATGGCTGCTTCTGTCTCACCTGGTTTGTATTTTTGTTGTCCCGTCTGCAAGGAGAAGTTGGGAGAGAGAGCTGAAGGCTTGGGCAGCCTCTGGGGAGGGTGGATTTGGGCTAGGTGTGCAGGTTTGGGGGGCACCGGGGGTTTCTTCCTTGGAGTAATGGCAGGCTCCAATTTGGGGGCCTTTGTCTGTGACCCCCCAGGGGTTTTCTGGCCAGCAGGGTTGCTGTGGATGTGAAGGGAGTTCTGCAAGGGCTTAGAGGTCTGTTGGGTGGAGTCTTCATCATGGCGGGCTTGGGCTGAGAAGTCAGGTCCCGTCACAGCAGCTGAGAGAGTAGGAGGAGGAGGAACAGAGGCATTATGGGAGTGCAGGTTGGCACCTGCAGCATGGACCCCAGAGGGCAGAGTGTGGTGGGCTAAAGGGGCGGTCTTTAGGGTGGTCTCTGCAGCTTGGAGGCCCCCTGAGCAGACTTGGAGATTCCCAGGAGATTCCCAGGTTCTCTGTGTGTGGCTTCCAGGCTCCTTCTGCCCTGGCCCAGGACTCTGACCTGGGCCTCCCTGGAGTGGGCTGGGAGCTTGGGCTGAGAGGACAGTCTGCCTGTCCCTTGGTTGGGTTTCCTTCTCAGAAGGCTGCACCCTGGGTGGTTCAAAAGTCCTCACAGGGTGAGCAGTGTAGATGCCATCCTGAATCGTCACCCACCCCTCAGGCAGCCCTCTAGGTAGTGCTTTCTCTTCCCCACTGACCTTTCTGGGAGGTGCCGGGTTCCTGGAGTCACCTCTGGCCACAGGCCTGCTGTTGCTCTGGGTGGCCCCAGTGGCAGTGGCTGGTGCTTTCAGGAGACCATCTTGGACGGGTGTGGAGGTGGCTGCAGGGGCGGAGGCCTGTTTGTGCTTGTTCAGAACTTGCTGGTGCAGACTCTGGGCCTCGGCTGTTGCCATCCGCAAACTCTGCATGGCTGTCTGTAGGTCTGGGGTCCCAGGCCCTGGTGGGCTAGCCATGGCTCCTCCTGACTTTCCCATGGCGGCCATTCCTTTCTGCCCAGTGTGATGGCTGTCTTCTTGCTTTTTTGCATCCTGCAATGGAGTTGGGGTGGCAGTTTCCCCAGCCAGAGGGATTGCCTTTCCAATGGCCTGGGGCAGGTAGGGGGTGGTTCCTGTGCCTCTGGGATGCCCCACCCCCATGCTGGGGTCCAGTGGAGGAACACGAATGATGTTCTCAGTTGGGGGAAGCTTCTGGGCCCCCTCGCTGGCTGGCACTGGACTTGGGTCAGCCGGTGGCTCCCACCGAAGGTCGTGCAGGCCACTCAGGTCTCCTTTGTCTATGCAGCTGGCCAGCAACTGCACACTTCTCCTTTCGGGGGCCCTGCTGGGTAGCTGGGGCTGTAGGGAGTAGGCGGTCAGAGAGACTAGGCCCTGCTCTGTCTCCTGCATCACCAGCCCAGTCCTTGTCACAGAGGCCCCGAGGCTACAAGCCAGCAGTTGCTGGAGCTCGGGATCCAGTTCTTCAATATTCCCACCATTGCCAGGAGTTGGCAGCCTCAGTGGCTGGAGCCGAAGCTGGCCAGTTGGGTCCTGCTGTACCAACAGTCCTTGCTGGTCAATGTCTGGCCGGCGCAACACTTGGTGGACAATCCTGGGAAGCTCGCCAGACACCAGCTCCTCCTTCCGAATGTGAGGATGACCCTGCCCTGGGCTGGGGAGCATGTACTTAGCAAGGCAGAGGTCCCCTGGCCCTCGGGTCTCCATGAGGATGCCCCCATGGTGCAGGATGCCAGGTGTGGCATGCAGCGTCCTCAGGGTCAACTCGGCCGCAGTCTCTTGCTTCTCTAGCATCCCATTTTCTGAGGGTCTCCCGGGCTGCTCCTCCTGGAGATTGCCCCCTCGGATGCTCTCAGCTGCCAGGGAGCCCATGGGGCAATTCTCGAAGAGCCAGGTGAACTTGTGTACAGAACCTTCAGCGATGGGTTCCGGGGTTATCTTGACCCCCTGATCTTCTCTCTTGCCTGACTCCAGGGCCTGGAAAACCTCTTTCTGTCGAGACACCTGCCCTGAAGGGATCTCCACCCGGCTGCAGTATCGCACAGGTCTTCTTCCACAGGGACGGCCTGCAGAGGCCTGCAGAGGTTCAGTCTCAAAGACATGTCCATCTGTCTGTCTTTCCCCAGCCTGGACCTGACTGACCTGCAGGTGCTGTTCCCTGGAGCCCTCTGCTTGGTCCAGGGGTGGAGGCTTGAACATCCAGGTGCAGGACCGGGCCTCAGCCTTGGTTGTGGGATCTGTGACCTCTGACCCCTGCCTCTCTGCCAGCTCACTCATTGGGCATGTCTCAAACAACCACCGGATGGTCTGCACATCGCCCTTTGGGGGAGTCTCAGACTTGGGGCCTTCTTGATTCTTTCTCTCCTCTTCCAGTCGTTCTTGCTGTTCCCGCTGGTGGATCATCTCCAGGGGCTGGGTCTCAAAAAGCCACCGAGCAGTGCCAACGTCCCCAGCCACCACTTCCTGCCGAGTGATGCCCCGTACCACATCCACCGTATTGGGGCTTCGACCCAGCTGATCTAGGGGCTGTGTCTCAAACATCCATTGATAGCCCTTCACATCACCTCCAACTACCTGCTCTCTGCTGACAGAGGTCAGGGCGTGGAGATGACCCTTGCTATCCTGCATGGCATATACTGGGGATCCTACACCCTGGGACTGTCTAGCAGAATCAGTTGTTTCTGATCCGTTTGCACCATCTGGGGTCAAAGGCTCACCCTGTCCAATACTATCCAGGGGAAGGGTCTCAAAAAGGTTTTTGAAGGTCTTCACATCCCCCTTCACCCCATCTCTCTGGGGCACACCCTGAGACAGAGACAGTGCTGAGGAGCCATCATTGGGTAGATGCTCACACATGAGTCCTTCACCCTCCTGGTGGCCCACACGCTGCAGGTGACCCACTTGGACTTTGTCTCTGAGAGTGTCCAGAGGTTTTGTCTCAAATAGCCACAGGGTGGAGCGAACATCACCAGGGACCACGTCTTCCTTAGGTGGAGCCTCTGCTCCAGCCTCCTCTTCCCCCTTCAGAGTGTCCAGGGCTCGTGTCTCAAACAGATGCCGCTGCTGCTGAACATCTGGGCCAGGAGGAATAAGGTCTGGGGATGGCTGGAAGTCCTTCTCATCCACCAAGATCTCCCGGATGGCATCCAGGGGCTGCGTCTCAAAGATCCAACGTGTTGCACTGACATCGGGCCGGGCCCCCTCCTCTAGGGAGATCCCCCGGATCACCCGCACCTGGCTGGGGTCTTGGTTGAAGGCATCCAGAGGTCGTGTCTCAAAGAGCCAGCGGGCAGACCTCACTGCGTTGCTTTGGATCTCTTCTCGACATGCAGCCTTGACCTCATGGATGGCCCCTTCTGCATCCTGGATAGCACACAGTGGCTCTGTTTGGAACAGCTTCACGGTTTTCTTCACATCGCCCTTCAGCTCCTGGATCTCTGAGCGCAGCTCCAAGGGGCTCTGCTCTTGGATGGAGGGGCGGGAGCCCAGGCGGTCCAGCGGCCGCGTCTCAAAGAGCATCTTAGTACCCTTCACATCTCCACTGGCCGCAGGTTCCCTCACAGTAGGCTCTGTTGTCTCCTCTTGGCCCCCCAGCTCATCTAGTGGCTTGGTCTCAAACAGCCACCGGGCTGCACGAACATCACCTCCCGATGGCCGGGGTCCTGCTGGCTCCCGCTCTGTGCTGTTGGCAAAGGATCCTTCCTCAAACTTTCGGGAAGTGGCCTGGACGTCTCCGCCTGGCACAGGCTCTTTGGCAGCTGGCTTCTCATGATCGCCAATGGCATCCAGCCGCCAGTTCTCAAAGATCCAGCGCATGCACTGGACATCACCCTCCGTGGGCTCCTCAGAGCCCAGGACCTCAGCCAGGTCCTCGGCCACAGCCTCGGCCAAGTTTTTGCGGAGCTCGGGGTGGATGTGCCTGTAGAGGCGGCGGAGCTCGCCAGCTTGCCGCTGCTGGTGGAACTTAGAGAAGGACTCCTTGGGTGGCGGTGGTGGCAGATCCTCCAGGACCGGGGGTGGAGGGAGGGACAGGTCCTCTGTAGTCGCCATTGGGATGGTTGGTGTGGGGGCCGCCTGCGTCTGCGCGTTGGCCGTTCTTCTGAGGAGAAGGGGCAGAGATGAAGATGTGGTTGGGGGATTCACTTGGGGTGGGGTCCAGTTGCTGGGACAAACTGCAGGGAGGAAGGCCCAGGGGCTGAGTAGCTCTGGGTGACATTTACTTAGAGACTCTCTCCCTCTCTATGTCATCCTGGCACAGGGTTCACTTTGGCTGGTGTGTGAAAAGTCATGTACTTAGGACATTTGGACCCGTCCATCAAGGTTGGTCCCTGATTCCCTGACTTGCTAGGGGGACCGAGGGTCTTTCCTTTGGCCCCACAAGGGATGCCCACCCACATCTCCAGTGGAAAAACTGGACGTGCCCATCCTTGCCTTCCTTTGTCCAAATCAGTTTTTTTTTTTTTTGCTAGACTTTCAAGTGAGTGAGCTGGGGTAATCTTGACTGAGGAGTCTCAAGAGATAGATCCCTAAATGGGTGACCGATTTCTCATCGAGAGGAAATTCGTACAAAGAACACCAGAGGGCGTGCTGAGCACTTTGATTAGAACCTGCCCAACCTTTACCTCTGGGGTCTCAATTCCAAACTTTCTCAGGCCCAGGGAGATGAAGCCCAACCCTTTATAATTTTTTTTAATAATATTTATTTATTTATTTTTTAGTTTTTGGCAGACACAACATCTTTGTTTGTATGTGGTGCTGAGGATCGAACCCGGGCCGCACGCATGCCAGGCGAGCGCGCTACCGCTTGAGCCACATCCCCAGCCCAACCCTTTATAATTAAAGATGAGGAAACTGGGGCCCAGAGTCAGATCTTGGCAAACAAGTGGCAGGCAGTGCCGGCATGAGGTCCCTAGACCCTATTTAGGGCCTGATTCCCAAGAAATAAGAGGGTAGGGGACGTGAAGCTTTCTTATCAGCCATAGTACCCCCTCTATTCCTCAGCAGGCCCCTTAGGAGAATAGGAAGGTGACATCTCTAGGGAGGGAAGACTGTGGATCAGGGTCCTTTCTGCAGAAACAGCTCATGGAGACCCCTCCCCAATCATGGGTAAGCAAGCACAGCTTCAGGTCTGCTGGGTGCAGGGCCTCAGGGTTAAGATCGACCCCTGAAGGCCCTCAACCCACTCTAGCCCCAAAGCTAGCTCCTCTTCTCCCTCCCTCTTCATGTCAATCAACTTCTATCAAGGTGTGACCTTTCTCCACTCTATCCTCGCCCCTCAAGCCCTTCTGGTCTGTCTCATGTATGTCTTATCTGTCTCGTGACAGGTGTTGTGACAGTCCCCAGAGGCCAGTAGGCCAAGAATGAGAAGCATGTACCCCCGTCTGCTGCCTCTGATCCACTACTGTGCTCCACACTTGGTTCTAAATATAGCTGAGGTCCTGGCCTTGGAATAGGAGCCTTGTGCTCGGAGGGACGTTTGGGCTCCACCACTGGGGATCCTGGGTGCCTGTGGCCCACGTCATCTCCTGCACTACCCGTGGTTCCTAGAGGACCCTGCCTCCTGCCTTCTGAGTTGGTGCCAGGACTCTGGTCTGCAGGCCAACCAGGTGCTAGAGATCTCCCCCTGGCCAAAGGGGCCCGGGGTGTGGGTAGGTGCAAGGACACTGGCAGCAGGTAGGAGGCAGGACTTCTTCCTATGGCTACCTCGGAAGGAGGAGACAGAAAACTGAGACCTACTTGCCCCACCTCACCCACACCTGGCCTTTTCACCAAAGGCATGAGAGCCCTAGGGAGTATAAGGTCTGAAACCTGTGGCGTGAGTCTCATCAATCCTCTGCAGGGTTTCCTTCCGTCTCTGAGCTGTGATAAGGATTTCCTGCCAAAACCAAATTCATGCCTGTCCCCACCTCTGCTCTAGCCTGTCACCCCCAGATGTCAGATGAGCAGATGTCATCTACAGGCCACCAACGCTACCCCACCCCCACTCCCAGGAATCTCCAGAATCCCTGCTAGGGTCGCAGGCTGATAGCACAGAGTCCAGGGACGTCAGAGCTGATCCTCAGAGGTCATTGAATCTAACCTCTAATGAAGAAGTTCAAAGGGGGAAAACTGAGGCTCAAAGAGGGGAAAGGAGCTGTCCAGGGAGGCTCACCAAGGCAGTGGCAAAGTCCGACACAGATTTCCTGACTCTGGGCCTGCCCACCTCCACCCCTGTCTGGCCTGAGCCTGAGAGGGCAGAATTCAGAACTGGGACCAGGCTTAGGGAAGAGTGAGCCCCAAGAACTGTCCCAGAGCTTGGGCTCCTGGGGCTGGGTCAGCCTCTCGGGATGACTCACCTCTGTCTCCATCTCCTCCTGGGCCCATACTGGCCTGCTCTAGACCTTTGGGCAGACTCAGATTTGGTCTCCGTGCCCCGACACCTACCATCTCTGGCCTAAGGACTTTCCCACAAGTCAAGATGATGGCCTGGGTTACAGGCATCCCGCCTGGGTTCAAGGACATCATATGTGGGGAGCTGAACTCAGGCCAGCCCTAGGGAGATATCACTGGTACCAGATATGCCAAGACTTTCACCCACAACAGCTGGGCATGGGGCCCATCCTAGGCTACATTTCTGGCCTCATCTACTGTCCCTACTCTGCCTGGCTCCTTCCCAGCTCTCTTCTGTCACTTTTTCCTCCAGATTTTGGGACTTCCAGAGGCTTCCCTGAGAGGAATCCTTGAAACCTGAGGAGCTCCATACCTGTATTTTAAAAACTGAAATTCCAGGCCTGGGGATATGGCTCAGTTGGTAGAGAGCTTGGCTCACATGCACAAGGCCCTGGGTTCAATCCCCAGCACCACACAAATAACCACCCCCCCCCCCCCCCCAAAAAAAAAAAAATCCAGGCCATCTCCTGGAAGCCTTTCTGAATTGCACCAGGCAAAAGCCTGTCCCCTTGGCCAGCCTAGGCCTGTGGCAGCCACTCTGAGCTCTCCTGTGGGACTCCTACAAACTCATGTTACCTTCTTTGTGGATTCTTTATCTCAGAAACTCTTCCACTCACCAACACCTGTTCTTACCATTCAACCTCCCTCTCTCCTGGGTTCTACCCCGATACACACATCCCACAGGGTGCAGAGGGCCAGAGCCTCCAGAACCAGCCACGCTGGTTCTTGACAAGAGGGGAGATTACTTACCGAGGGTTCCGCTTGGCTGGTGGGGTGTTTGGGGTCTGTAGCAGGTGGCTTGGCTGGTGGGGTGTTTGGGGTCTGTAGCAGGTGTGGCCTAAGCGTCGGTCCTCCTGCTGGAGAGTCTCGCGTGGGTGGGTTCTGTTCTGTGGCTTGGTCAGCTACCTTCTCACTGCCTGTCTCTGGGTCTCTGTTCTCTGCCAGCCCCCAGCAGCTGCCTTTATTTTGCTGGTTAGGGGGTGGGCCGGAGAGGGGGTGGGGAGGGAGGCTATGTTGGGACTATTAAGTGGTGCCGCTATTTTTAGGGCTTGTGGAAGTCACTCTGCCATCCCGGGGAATCAGTTACATGTCTTTTGGGTTGGGGAGGGGCGACAGAGGGAAATGGGGAGAGCTCCATTCATCTAAAGTCTGCTCTGAGAATTGGGGACAGCCAGTGACTCAACTGTGGTGTGGGGTGGGGGTGTCCAGACTATTTTGAAGGAATGAATAAGGAGGAGCATTTGACACTGGGGTGGCCCTGCTCCTTCATCCTCTGAGCCTCCTGTCTCTGTGCTGGACTGGCCTCTGACTCTTGCTATATACCACCAAGTCAGGAGACTGGAGGCTCCCCATGGGCAGGGCTGGGCTTCTCTGTCCCCAGCAGGAACACCTCTGAGAATAAGGCCCAGCTCTTTTTCTCCTGGGTTCCCCAAAGCTTCCTCCCTTTATCCATTCCTCCTCATGCCCCGCAGCCTTGACTGAAGCAGATTGGGGGAACCGTCTGAATGACCAGGCCTCAGCTCTTTGCTAGGCCTGATTTTTCAAAGAATCCTACGAAAGAGTTCTGTGGTCTCCATGCCCCATCATCCGGGTCCTTGTCTACTTCGGAACTCTTCCCTCTGACTCAGGGCCCAGACTTCCCTGGAATGGAGGGGAGGGGAGGGGAGGAGAGGCGTGTGGGAGCTGACTGTGGGGTTATTTCTGACCCTGGAGTCATCAGCTTCCCAGTCTCAGACAGGATGGGGGTGGGGAGAATCACACCTGCCTCCTCTTGGCTGCCTGGAGCCCCAGGGACCTGGCAGCCTTCAGCATCCTGCACAGGGGCCAGCGTGGAGGGACATCAAGGTATTATCCACAGCAAATAGGAAAGAGGGTTTTGTCTTAGGTGGGAGGCTCGGCTCCTTGTCTAAGGGTGTGCTTGCAGACGTGGTCTTCCTTCTGATGACCCAAATGCCCTCTAGGGCCAGTGGGGGATGCCAGATGTCGCTCACTTTTTCCATGGAGTCAACATTAGTCATGCACCGTCCCCTGGGGGGTGGTAGTGGGGGCATCTGGAACCCCTTCTCTCTTCCCCTGTTTTTTTCTATCCCTCCACCTGCCAGGCTCCTGTCTTTCCCAGGGCATAGGGGAATGCTATATGCCCTTCTTTCAGGCCAGGAAAGGAGGGGGGTCCTAGGAGGAGCCTTCTCCCTCCAGACACTGAAAGTGCCTATCTTCTAGGGTAATTTTGAGAATTGAAGAGAATTAACCTATGAAAGTGTTTTTTTTTTTTTTGTCTGTTTATTTTGGTTCTGAGGATTGAACCCAGGGGTGCTTTGACACTGAGCTATACCCCCACAACTCTTTACACTTTTACTTTTGAGTTAGAGTCTCTCTAAGTTGCTAAGGGCCTCACTAAAGTCATTGAGGCTGGGCTGGGGATGTGGCTCAAGCGGTAGCGCGCTCGCCTGGCATGCGTGCGGCCCGGGTTCGATCCTCAGCACCACATACAAACGAAGATGTTGTGTCCACCGAAAACTAAAAAATAAATACTAAAAATTCTCTCTCTCTCTCTAAAAAAAAAAAAAAAAGTCATTGAGGCCGCCCTTCAAACTCACTGATCCTCTTGTCTCAGCCTCCCAAGTCACTGGGATTACAGATATGCACCATGGTGGTCTGCATGCAAAAGGTTTTGACAGTGCTCAGCACATAGCTAAGTACACCCAAGTGCTGAGAAGTGCCTGCTTTTATATACATGAGGAAAGAAAAGCACCCAGGGAAGCTCCTTTTATAGTCTCTTCAAGGGTGATAAGTCATGGGAGAAATTCCTTAGGCTTCAATATTAAGAAAGAGGCTCTTCCTGGACATCTAGTTTTTTTTTTTTTTTCCGAATACAGCTGTGCTGTTCCATGAAGTCACCATTAGTCCTGTGGAGCTATTGACATTTAAATATATTAAAATGAAATAAAATAAAATAGGGGCTGGGGTTGTGGCTCAGTGGTAGAGTATTGCTGGCATATGACCCTGGTTTCGATCCCCAGAACCACACACACACCACACCATACCATACACACACAGAAAAAAAAAAAAAGAAAAATTTGGTTCTTCTACAGTAGCCTTATTTTAGGTGTTCTGTTGAGACTTGTGACTAGAAAGTGCCATATTGGACAGTGTGGCACATTTCTATCATTGGGTAGTGCTGTTACACACACTAAACATTTTATAACATATGATATTTCCCTCTTTGGCTTGGCTGCTAGGAAGCTCCAAGCCAATTTTTTTAGGCTTCTCCAAGAAAGGACAATTTGTAGCTTACATCCTGGATAATGAGGGTGATCAGCTCTCCCAGTTGTCTGTCTCTGAGGAGTTTCCCAAGGCAAGGGGATTTCACTTTTAAAACTGGGGAAAGTATCTGGACATGCGGTGCACACCTTCATTCCCAGCTTCTTAACAGGCCGAGGCAGGAGAATTGGAAGTTTGAGGCCAGCCCAGGGACCTTAGCAAGACCTTGTCTAACGAAAAAGAAAAAAAAAAAAAAAAGAAAGAAAGAAAGAATGAAAGAAAGAAAGAAAGAAAGAAAGAAAAGAAAAAGAAAGAAAAAAGAGCTCAAGTGAAGTAGTAAAGCCTCCCTTGAGCCTGTAAATCAGGCACAGGCCAGGTCACCCAGGAGCCCTCGCTGGCTGTGTTTGCTTGGGATTCCTCAGGCCTGGTCTCCATCCGTCATCTTTAAGGCAGAGATACATTGCATCTGTCTTCTGGAGCCCTCTCAAATCATTCTGGGGATGAGGCTGGGAATACATACATACACGGAGGCTGAGTGACAGGGCGGATTACACCATCCTTGTCCAAAGGCAGAGAGGTGCAGGGAGGGGAGTTGTTTTCAGGCTGTTACAGTCTGCCTTCTGGAGCCTGCTGTTTCTCAGTCTCCAAGGTCCTTTTCCTGCCAGTCCTTCCCTCCAAGGGGGATCTGTGGAGGACTGGGCAGAAGTTCATGCCGGAGGCTCCCTCCAATCTAAGGAGGAGCCCAGAGTGAATAGCTGGCAGTTGATTCAGGAATGATCCAGAGCCAGACGGCTTGGGTTTGAATTGTACACGTGACGCTTAGGAGCTGTGTGACTTTGGCAAGTTTCTTATTCCTAAATAAATAAATAAGTAAAGTGTGTGTGTGTGTGTGTGTGTGTGTGTGTGTGTGTGGTGTAGATATAAATATAGATACACAGTATGCATTTAGAACAGTGTTTGGCACACAGTGAACTCATTAAATGAATAAGGTAAGTTTTTCCCCTGGACCTTAGCCACCTGTGGCCTCTCCAGGTCTCAGATGCTATGTCCTCTTGGTCCAAAGACGAGTGCCCTTCAAGGCACTGGCTGGCAGTCCTGGCTTCCCTCTGGCTGAGGGAACCGCTTGGGCAGGCCAGGTGGGTTCTGTTCTAGGCCTTTAGGGGATGGTTCTGCTCAGCCTCTTGGTATCAGAGAATCACCTGAATCCAGAGAAGGGATTTTCTGCTCTGGGGTCAGCTCCAAGGGTGGGCAGATTTGAGATGAGTGTCCAGCCTCCTGCGTGGGGAACTTTGTGACTACTTCATGAGAGGCAGCTTTTGAGAGTAGGATATGATGTCAGAGGCCTGGGATCAAATTGCCAGTCTGTCTCTTACTATTTATTTGACCTCTGAATGTCTTCCACTCTGTGCACATTCATGCTTTCCTGTGTGATCTTCCAAGAGCAGAATCTGAGACAAGCATTTGAACGCAAGTGATTTAACTGGAAGGGGATCCCAGGTTCGCAATGAGGGGGTAGAGGAGTGAGTAATGGGAAGGAGGAACATCATTACCTCTAAGCAATTGGGGCTTCATATCCTAATTTCCTTTACAGATAGTTCACTGTTAGTATGGGGAAACACAGTGGATTTTTTTTTTTTTTTTTGACATGAGTTTGAAGCCATGGGGAGCTTTAGAAACACAGTGGATTACACACACACACACACACACACACACACACACACACAGTAATTTGCACTTCATTTTTTAAGGTTGATTTTGTATCCTGCAACTTTACAGAATCATTTATTAATTTTAACAGCCTTCTTTTAAAAATGGAGACTTAGAAGTTTCCTATACAGAAGAAATCACATCATCAGCAAACAGGGACAATTTAACTTCTATGATTTGGATCTTTTATTCTTTTTCTTGCCTAATTGCTCTGGCTAGGACTTCCATTGCTAAGTCTGTTCAACACAGAAGTGTTGAGAGTGGGCATCTTTGCCGTGTTCCTGATTTTAGAGGAAGCTTTCATTTAAAAAAAAAAAAACATTGATTATGATGTTAGCTGGGAACTTTTCATATATGTTGGTGTGTTTTCCTTCTAATATATTGATGTATTTTTCTTCTAAGTCTACTGAGAAATTTTATCATGAAAGAATGTTGATTTTTTTTCCCTCCTTCCTCCCTCCCTCCCTTTTTTTTTTTTTTTTTTGTACTGGGGATTGAGCCTACAGGCATTTACCACTAAGCCACATTCCCAGGCCTTTTAATTTTTTCATTTTGAGATAGGTTCTCACTAAGTCGCTTAGAGTCTTGCCGAGATGCTGAGGCTGGCGTCAAACTTGCCATCTTTCTGCCTCAGCCTCCCTAGTTGCTGGGATTACAGGTGTGCACCACCATGCCCAGCTAAAAGGGTGTTGAATTTTGTCAAGTGCTTCTTCTGCATCTATTCAGATGATCATATGATTTTGTCCTTTATCTTATTAATGTCGTGTATCACACTAATTGATTTTTTATATGTAGAGCCATCCGTGCATCCCAGTGATAAACTTCATGGACCTGGAGTTTGATCTTACTGGAGACCCTCTGAGAGGTAATGCAGAGCATGCTTCACCTGGGGCGAAGAATGTGGGGTATTTGCCCAACAATCCTTACACTCCCATTGGTTGGGTGTTGTTACTGGAAACACTAACTCAACCCCCTCCCCTCCACTCTTGAGGTAGAAGGATGCAAGTTTTTGAGGTAGGAAGCTCTCAGTATGTATTCTGTTCACCCAAACTACAGCAGACCCTGAGAAGGAGTGAGATGATGTCATGAGGTTGGATACAGGTGGCATCTGCTGTATTAGGTCCCTCCATCTGTGAGATGAGGGTAACAATAATAGTCCTGCATCACTGAGTTGCTTTGAAGATTTAGACCAGTGTTGTACAATAGAAAAAGAACATGTACCATATAAATGAGAGCCAAATAATTTGCATGAGAGCCATGATAAGTCATTTAAAATCTTCTAGTAGCTATATCTAAAATAGTAAAAAAAAAAGGTGAAATGAATTTTAATAATGTTGTTTTGACCCTGTATTTGTCAGCTTTCTATCACTAAAACAAAACACTTGAGATAAATAACTTATAAAGACAAAAGGTTTATTGTGGCTCATAGCTTTGAAGACTTCAGTTCATGATCTATTGACCCCGTTGTTTTGGGTGCATCATGGTGGAAGTGCACAGCAGAGCAAGTTCAGTTGTAACATGAGTCAGGAGGAAAAGATAAAAGAAGGGGCTTACAAAACTCTTTGGGGGCATGTCCCCAATGACCTATGGACTTCCCCTTAGTCCCCACCTCTGAAATGTTCCAGCACCTTTCAATTGCACTGCCTTGGGGACCAAGCCTTTAACATATGGGCCTTCAGGGAACATTTATGATCCAAACTATAGCAGACCTAAATTTCCAAAATATTATTTGTCTATGACTCAGTGTTGAAATGATTAACGAGATATTTTGAACTGAATCTTCAAAATTTCCAGTGAATATTTTACATTTACAACATACATCTCATACCGGACACTAATTTTTC